GGGGGGTCATAAATGGTTTTTGAGAAATGTCGAAAAAGACGTCGTCATTTTGAGACGATTTTGCTATCAAAAAATCGAGCAAACAGCATCGTTCTGGAAATTTTTCTGGACTTTTTTGAGAAAACTGCAAACGGTTCATAAGAAAACCTTTATGTTGTAAAAGCCCCAATTTATGCTCTAACCAGTGGTGTAAAAATGAGCGCCCGAGCTGAATTTCTCCCCGAGAAATAAGCAAAATCGTGACGAGAAACATAAATTTTTGACCTAATCTTGTACCTGGGTGATACTCAAATTTTCTTTCCTGTGTGCAAACTACAGCCATTCCCTCACTCGCGTTTCTTTGCGTAAATAGGGCTTTAAATTATCTTTTCAATGATACCAAAACGAGCTCTGAGGCTCAAATGGTTCTTGAGAAACGTCGAAAAAGACGGCGTCATTTTGAGACGATTTTGCTATCAAAAAACCGAACCAACTAACATCGCTCTGGAAATTTGGCTTTTTTGAGAAAACTGCAAACCGTTCATAAGGAAACCTTTATGTTGTAAAAGCCCCAATTTATGCTCTAACCAGTGGTGCAAAAATGAGCTCCCGAGCTGAATTTCTTCCCGAGAAAGAAATTTTCTTTCTTGTGTGAAAACTACCGACATTCCCTCACTCGCGTTTCTTTGCGTGAATAGGGCTTTAAATTATCTTTTGAATGATAATCGTGCGTTGTGATGCTTACCTGGATGACGGGGATGCAGTTCTCGTAGCAAAAAGCTTGTAAAAGGACGGCTTGGATGTGGGTGGCGGCGTCTCCGGGCCTGGTGGTAGGCAAGACGCACAGAACCACCTCATCGGGGGTGTTTTCCAGGTGGGCGATGGCGGGGAAAAGACCGCACACCAGCCGCCCACCTGCCTTCGCCTTGGTAAGGGCCGTCCTCAACGTCTGACCCAAAGTAATTCTGAAAGAAGCAAAAAAATTAAACTCTGCAGTTTCGGGACTTTTGCGCCGTAAACAAATGCAATGACCTCAACGTTGGAAAACGTTGCTCCCGCCCACGGATTAATGCCCTTGACGTTGCTTCGCTACCCCGCACTTCCAGACGTAAACAAGCGACATCCCCATAGGGGGGTGCGCGTTTCTTCTCGCAGGTTAACCGTGAAGGGAACAAGGACGGCAATAGTCCACGTGCCGATGACCTTGGCCGTTAGGCGTCCTTCGACTTTGACCTATCACCTCTGCCGTGTGAAACTCCCTTTGGCGCGTCAATGAATTTTTTACAATTTTTATTTACTTAATAACGGGATTTGAGGATAGAAAAACGAGCACTGGTCCAAATCCCGTCACTTAATTGTCACCAAAAAGTCATCCAGTGGCTTCGTTGCACAACATTGCATAAAACACCCAGCCTTGCATTGGTTTATCGGCTTGATTTAGTTAAAATAACTGATATTTCTGCGCTCATTTCCACCTACCTGTTGATCATTTTGCACTTTTCCTGTGGCTTGTCGACGCACATTTTATTAATAGCGGTAATCCTAAGCGACTTGTAACCCAGCTTGCACTCAAACAGCAAAATTTGCTTCACTGATCGACTACTTTCACCGATTCACCGTTGCTCAACTTTGCGAAACAGCGCGTTTGAACTTGACAGAGACAACAGGGACTCCTCGAACGTAAATAATGAAGTTTGCGATATTCTGACAGGCGCTTTTATATGTGGCAGACTGCGCATAGGGGTGGGGGCACGTGAATTCCATGAGTAGACGCGATCGACTGCGTTTCGAGGAAACCCCTTGGGAGGTGGCCAGTTGCGCCAGCGGTTTTCATTCTTCGCAGTGCCGGCAGGCAAACCATTCAACTGATTTGATGGTTGATGGTTGGGAATGTACGCGAGCTGATTCACGCAATCCGTTGGGTTCTTTTCGCCGTCCTCGACATAAAACCCATGTAATTATGCAATCGACCCAGATGAATGCGCACAGACCACAGGCTGATCCGTCTGCTCAGGAAATTCCATCGGTCGATCTGGTCCGGTTATTCCCATCGGATGCAACCGGCTCGGTGATGGGATTCGGGACTTTTCTGTGTATCTGGAATGTATCAACCGGACCAAAACCTTCGATCGAGCGAATTGATCCCACCCAGAATTTTAAGTTGGCCAATTAACGCGTTTGCTCTAATTAACCAATGACCAGGATATAACATTGGATGGTCGCTTAAAAATTATCAAGCTACATCAATTACTACATGCAAACAAATGAAAGTTCCGGCGTTGTCAAACTAGGTAAAACGTAATATACAGGGTGTCAATACATCAGCTATTCTGCATAAACAAGTCACTCATAAATCGGGGATTCATGAATGAAAAATAGGTGGTAGAGATAAAACTACTAAAAGTATTCAGGTGATGCCGCTCTCTGAGTTAACGGGTTATAACTCAACGGTTAATGAGTTATAAATCATCTATTAAAGCTTTACGCGACTCGCGACTGGAAATTTCACATCTAAAAAGGGTTATTAACATTTTTTCTGAGCAACGTTTTACTACTTTGTTTAAACAACTAAAAAAAATTAATCTAGATTTCCCCAGCAACCGAACTGAGTCCAAAGAAAGTCGAGGAGTTTTCTTGTAAAATCGACCTCTTATTTTTTTGCATAAAAGATTCAGTTCGCCAATATTAGACAGCAAAACGTTTTTAAACGCGGTTTTTCTGTTTAGAGTTTAGAAATATTGACCTAAAAGTGAAGAAACTGCAGTTTGAAGTGAAGAAACTCCCAAAAATAATGCGATTTTGGCGTAGAAAGAAGTGCTTAATAAAAACTGCTAAATCTGGAATGGCCTGAAAATTTAAAAGAACTTTAGAAATCCTCAGAGATGAAGGCGGCGAATTTTCCCAATAAGTTTTTGTAAAACTTTTGCTCTGCGATCGTTTTTTCAAGATAGTCTTAACTACCTTCGGTAAAAAACTGAATAAAATTATTTGCTTTTTTGTGCCAAATTCGAAGCTGAAATGGGTTTTCTAAAGTTTTCTGTAAACCGATGAATGAGGCGAATTTGCTAGCAAAATTAATTTTATAATTTTTGGCTGAAAACACCCTGTTATTGTCAAAAAGAAGAAAATCATCAGAAAAAAATGCTTCTTTGAGTTTTCGGGAAAAAAACGGTAGGAATTTCATTCCGTTTTTGACCCGAATTCGACACTGAAAAAAGTTTTTGTAAAATTTTTACAAAGCTATAAATTTATCTTGTAATTTTTCTGGTAAAAGCCCTCCAGATCGTCAGTATTTTTAATTGAAACTACGAAATAGAGCGTTTTTGAGTAAATGGTAAAGAAAAAAATTCAGTAAAAACTAAAAAACCAAATTTTCTTGCAAATTCTACACTTCAGAGAAATGGAGGTGACGAGATTTTTCATAAATAATCTGTTATAAACCTTCGCTTATTCAGTTCGTTTTTTGATCGAAAAATGTGAAAAGTAAAACTCTACAAAATAGAGCGTTTTTGAGTTTTTTGAACGTAATGCAAAAAAAATCAGTCAAAACAGTTCGTTTTTTGATAGAAACTTATTTGACTTTTGTGCCAAATTCGAAGCTGGAAAGGGATTTCAAAACTTTTTCCAAAGCAACGAAGGATTCGAAATTTATTTAATAATTTTCCGCGGAAAATATCTTAAGATTGTCAGCATTTTTAAGTGAAACCTTATAAAATTAAGCATTTAGAAGAAAGAGTAACTTGGCTAATACTGGAAAATTCTGAAATTTGAAGACATTTTAAAAACATTATTAATAAATGGCCTTTAAAATAAATCTAAAAAAAGTAAAAGAAGTTATCAACATTTATCGATATAGGTACAGGGTGAGCTTTTTTCTATGATTACTACCTTGAGATCTTCGAAACAACAGAAAATCAAATAATTTCTCCTGCCGTCAATATTAATCTGATAGCAAAACATTAAATAAAAAAGTTGGGGCAAATAAAAAAGCAAAGGATATTTTTACAAATTAACTGTCATTTTTGACATATGACATAAACTTGTGTCTTTTTAATGGCTGTCATTCTTGATTATGCCTTTACTAAATAGAGCATTTTATTAAGATTTCAGATATTCCTATCATATCATCAGGTTTTTACCGACAAGCCTTTGCGACTGATTTTTACTTCGTACACCCACGATTCATCATTTTCCGATTGCTTTAAATGTAACAACAATGACTTTCCGGTATTTTGACCTGGCAAATATCCGGATTTATCATCGAGTGATTACACCATATTAACCAAAACTCGTTGTTTTAAGTGGCTGTAAATTCGAGTATTAGAAAACCTTGCCGTATGGTTTGATAAGAAGTGATAAGATAATACGCGTAAACCTGTTAAATGTTAGTATGAGGATGATTATTCATCTGCATTTGCAAAACTAATTTCCGGCCTTGGCAATGTGGCGCCACATGCCACATGACCGGGAAATATTGTATATGTTAATTAGAGGAAAGGATTTATTTATTTGAGGTGTTTTCCTGACTATTGGACCTAAATTGCGGTATCTTCTAACCGACTAATCGACGAAGGAACGCATATTTTTGAAAAAAAGATGGACGAAATGAGGGGGGAAAACTGTGAAGAATCAATAGGTTGGAAGAAAAGAACCCATGTCTCCTTGCCAATCCGGTTTTAGCAAAGAAAATCATCCAGACACCCCCAACAAGGACTAACATTGACATTTTATGTCTCCAACGGCATAAATCTCAGATTTATTAATGTATTTGGTATAAACCCGTTTAGTCGTTGAATATTTGCGATGAATCTCTAATCAAACCATTGACTAGGGCAACCCGATTACCAGAAAACAAACAAACAATAATTTTTCCATGTGAATATCCTCGACCAATCGAAATACTCGCACTTGTACTACTTGTAGTAGGTCTTGAATTGACCTCACGCCTGACCCGGCATGTTTTGATGACGCACCGGTAAACCCACGCAACTGAAGCAAATCGCTGGCGGAAAACGCCCACTTTTTCAGAAAATCCAACATGTCCCAACCGGTTGCAACGGAATGAGAGACGATTCGGATTAGTCACTTGAGGAATGCATGTACTGTGTTGCCGCATTGTTCGATATGTCGGGTGTTTGGACGCGAACGATCACGTTTCGCCGCTTACGTTGACTTTACAATGAAATTCTTTAATTGTTATTATGATTGTAATCCCCCACTTGGGAAAAACATGTGATAAACACACTAACCGGAATTGATCCGCTAAGTAATCTGTGGCGCAGTGGGAAATTTCGCGTTTTAAAATAGCACTTAATTATTAGTATCTATTGTTGTTTAAAAATAGCTTGCGGTCCTCAAATATAAAATAGGCTGGACTATCTGGACGTAGCTGGGAAAACAGTTGACTGTCCCAGAACGCGTGGATGTTTTAGGATCAACACACGTGGCGGAATTTTGGTACTTGACTTTCCTAGGTGAGACACGTGTGCGTGAGAAAAGACTGCGCTCTGTATAAACCGCTAATTTGTTTATCACTTCCCATTCTCAACCTGTGGAAAAACCTCCAAACAACGAATTCCGATAAGCCTTATCTATATTACACAATCAGGAATTACGCCGATAAAGTTTTTTTCTGCGAAAGGTCAGTTAAAGTTTACCGGGAAATGTTGCGTTTCATTGGAAAAGGGCTTTGAACGTCGGGGAAGCTCAGTAATCGACCGGCGTCTCCAGTGAAACGACGCCGTTCTCTGAACTCGCCGACTTCGGAAAAACTACACTTCGGGGTGATTCAGGAAAACAAATATGCAATGAGTGGCTCAAAGTAAAACTCAAAACTTCCTCCGGGCCATCAAGGCGTCACAGACATTTAAAACTCGATTACTTTGATGGGTCACATCGTATTTTACCAAACCAAGAGTTTATACTCGTCCCAAGCTCTTTGGCAGTGACGCATTTGTTGTCGTTCTTTTTCTATTACTTGTCCACCGAGCGAGACGAAAATTTGATGTTTTTAGCGCATGTCTCATCAAATTGTTACATTTCCCGGAAGTATGGAAGAATATTGAAATTATTGATTTGATTTATTGACGACTGTCGGCAGTTTCTATGAATTTTTCCAAGTTATTATTTAAATTGACCGATACATTTTTTTCTTCTTACTATCATTACATCGTTAATAGCTTTGTTAAGGAATCGTTAATCGTTAGTGCTGTTAAAAGATTGAGAATATAATTTAAATAATTGAAGCTCGAGATACCAGCAGCAACGGTTGTTGTTTGTAAACAAAAAGTAGTTATTGATAGAGACTCGATAATAAAAGACGCAAATAAAGTATCGTAAAAAACACCCAGTGTTCGTCATTATAATTATAAAATAAATACATAAATACTGTGCAAGCTTGTTTGAGTCCTTCATTTTTTCTTCTACTTGCTTCATAAATTAACTGCAGGAGTTGATTTGAACAGCGGAAAATGCATTTTGCAAAATTTAAAAATAGAAAACTAATTAAAAACGTAAAAAAACATTTGAATCTTTTTGGTTCGTTTGAGCTTGTTAAGTTTGCATTTGCTTCGGTCATTAAGTTTATTTTTCAAAGAACCTGTGCAATTCGCATTTACTTAAAAAATCCATACTCATCGAAACAGCCGCTTGCAGATAAACCGCTCATCTGACCAGCTCCCGTTAACAGTAGGGCTCCATGGGCCCCACAATCTGCCAAGGAACATAACTGACAACTGAACACAGAACATACCCCCTAGGGGGGATATTTTGTGCAACTGAAACAACAATTTTACGGATTGCACCCCGATCAAAGCAGATCGTCTGCTGTCTCACTCACACGCGTGCACTATCATCGACGAAAACCAACCCCGGCCTGTCAATCAAGTATTTTCTAAATATGTGAGCTTAACCTCACTTTCGTCTAACCTCACTTTAACGTAATGTGCAAGACCAAAGGGCTAGACATTAGCGAGGCTTCTGACATGGAGCTGGAGCCCTCATCGGACTCCTCAATGGAGAGTAGTGACAGTGAGGTTGAGATTTCAGAGGCGGAAAATGAGGCTGCCGAGACTGTCCAGGAGGAGGAGGAGGAGGAATCAGAGGACGAAGTGATTAAGGCTATTAAGCGAGAATGCGAGCGCAAAAACGACCACCCGCCAGTGATAAACTGCGAGGACTTTATCACCGATATCTCTTTTCATCCCGGTAGCGATATTTTGGCTGTGGCCAATATTGTGGGGGATGTGATGTTTTACAAGTACAGCAATGAGGAAAACAGCCTGCAAAGTAAGTGGGGGAGGCCCCGTGGTGGCCGTGTTGATCTAACCAGGCTTTGCAGATACCTTGGAACTGCACACAAAGGCCTGCAGAGACATCGAGTTTAGCCTTGATGGGGAGAGGCTCTTTTCCACCTCGAAAGACCGAACAATAATGCTGAGTGACGTGGAAACTGGCAAACTGATTAAGTTCTACGAGGACGCTCACGAAGTGCCAGTGTATTCTTTGACTGTTATCGATGAGAACGTGTTTGCTACAGGCGACGATGATGGCACAGTGAAACTCTGGGACACCAGGTGAAAATTGAGTGGAATGAAAGGGCTTTTAACCATTTGGGGGTCATTTAATAGGCAGAACGATAGGCCCGTTTACAAGACCAAAAGGAACGATGACTACATAAGCGACATGGTCACCAATGAGTCGCGCAAGTATCTGCTGTGCTCTAGTGGGGACGGCTCTTTGACTACCATCGATTTGGAGAAACGCGCCATTTACATGCAGTCTGAAGACCATGATGACGAGCTCACCTGCCTCGGACTGTTCAGGACTGAAACGAAACTTTTGGCAGGTACGAGGAGTTTAAAATCCTTAAGGCTTAAAACCAAGTGAACTGTTCCAGGCTCTGGCAAAGGTAAGCTCTATCTGTACAACTGGGACGAGTTCGGTCTGTTCAGTGACGCCTTTCCGGGTCCCAAAGCCGCCATAAATGCCCTGATCCCCATCACGGAGAACATCGTGGTGACTGCTGGAGAGGACGGCAACTTACGAGCCACTCACTTGTTCCCACATAGGCATTTGGGCATTGTGGGACAGCACGATATTTCGGTGGAGTGCGTAGACATTTGCAATAATGGCACGTTTATTGCGTCCAGCGGCCACAACAACGAGATTAAGTTCTGGAATGTGCAGTACTTTGAAACCATCGAAAAGGTCAGCCAGAAGCACAAGAAGCACGAACGGAAGAAGGAGCTGGCCAACAATTTGCCCTCTTCCAAAGTAAAAAATAATGCCGAATTTTTCAGCGACATGGCATGAGGGTGACCAAGTGTTGTTAATTATTAGGTCTCATTAATTAATTAATATATGAGCGTTCGAAGTTTCGCAGGTTTATTTTTTTGAAAAATTTTATTTACCCTTTTGGAATGCACGTAGTCCATTTTCATAGCGCCGAGGCAAGCTGTCTCAACTAGGGCTCGGAATTTTTAAAAATCTGATATTCGAATATTCGTTCAGTGGTTTATTCGAATACTAAAATTATTCGAATACTCGAATATCTAACGAATATTCGAGTTATGACTACACATAATTATTCGCTTTTCGAATATTCGAATACTCGAATTATTCGAGTTTGATTCCGAGCCCTAGTCTCAACATTCTTTCCCCACAGATTCAACTAATAATCACTGAATAATTCAAGGACCTGGCCGAGTTGCCAGTTGTTGCATATGCCAGAATCCACATATTCTCGATGATTAAGACGAGAACGACGGATCAATTCACGTCAAACAGGTCAAACAGCATCAATTTGTCATTGGGTTTCGGGTCATCGTGCAGGGTGAAAATCGTGTTATTTCCTCATTAAGTCCCCTTGTGAGTTACTGTGAACCGATCTCAGCGTGACCATGGCTGATCTAGACGATTTCTTCGCCAAGAAGGACCGCAAGAAGAAAACGTCCAAAAAGTTCACCACAACGGAAGAAGTGGCCAAGAAGCTGGAAGACACCGCCAAGAAGACGGAGAAGCAGAAAAAGGAGCGGGTGCCCGAAAGCGAGGAGGACCGGACGCCAGGACATGTAAGGCCCTTTTCATTAAATCAGGTTTGCCTCATGCGATTTGAGGTTAGATCTGGCCATATTGTCCAGTCGGTTTTTGACATTTTCTCTATTAAAGGACCAGGATGAGTGGAAGGAGTTTGAAGAAGAGAAAAAGGATTACACTGGCTTGAAGATCGGACACTTGTCGAGCAATCCCAACCAAGAGAACCACTCGGTGAACCCAGAGGCTGGATCGGGCGACCAAACTGATGGGGGCGACAATGGCGCGGAGGCAGATCGCAAGCCTGGACCCTGGAAAAGGCACGTGCTCCAACCACTCTATTTACAGTGATCTAACAGCGCTGATTTTCAACAGAATCGATGTGCAGTCGGATGGCGTGGTCGAAGAAGCGGCACCAGTGCCTCGCCCAGAGCAGCCCAAAGAAGCGCCTTCTGAGGGACCCACAAAATACCGACCTCCCGGCATGAGACATCAAGCCCAACACGGGAACTCGGCACCTTCCCGCTTGAGACACCACAAAGGCGTGGCTCCCGATATTCACAACGAAGACTATTTTCCCACACTCAGCAAAAGCGGCGACAATAAGAAGTAAGTTTTTAGTTCTTTTTGTTGTAGAAGTTGTGCCGAGTTTTCCGAAATTCAATTCTGTTACACACATTTTTTTGCGCAGAACTCGTGGTGAGGGTAGTTTTGAGGTGGTGCAGCAGCACCGCTCCTCCTCCCATCGCCAACAAATGGAACACTCAAGGGGCTCCAGTGGTCCCCAACTCAACCTAGGCAACCGGTACAACACGCTCAGCAACGATAGCTAGTAGGGGGGCCCGAAACCAGCAGCGGCACTCCAAGGGGGATGTGCTACCTCGATAGCAAAAGTATTAAATTGGGACGTTCCTCTCGATCAGCCGGGACAGAGCCGCTGCTTCTATGGCCCCATAGTTGGCCTGCCAATCAAACGTTTATTTTTAATCTATAGTATATTGAAAAATTTAAAAAACCGATTGCAATTTGCTCTGTACTTCGGGGGCAGATTTCTAGGAAGAATTTTTTCAAAATTCAACTCAAGCGCACTTCCCCCATCCAGTATTTCCACCGAATATTGTGATATTTTTAATCTACTGACCAGCGCCCCGTAGGTTGGAGAGAGACAGTGAAGGTTTTTGTAGATGGGGCTGGCCCTTCGGCTAGGCCCCTAGATACCTTCAGAGATGGGGGAGGGTGGACGCCACATTTCAGGGCGTTTTCTTAAGTACTCTGGTTTTAATTGAATTCATGTTTTTTTTTATCTAGTAGACCTGATACCGACTAAATAGCTAAACGAATTGGTTGTAAATTTTTTTATATTAAATTATATTCTCAATTTACTGCTTTTTGTTGTATGGCTGGTTATTCAATCAATCAAACGGCAAATCTTCACTAATGAACGTTTGCGGTAGTATAAATCGCTTTATGTACTTTTTGCACTTTTTTATTTGCCGCCTCGTAGAAAATTTATCGCTGGTGTTTAATTTTTACGGAAACATTGACTAACAAAGAACAAATGGGGCTCAATAACACTTCACGCAGAAACCAAATCGCTCTAAATAAATGGATTTTATCCAGTTCCAAAGCTAGGGCTGTTAACTAGTATTGTTTAGGAACGTACAATCAATAATAAATAAATAACAAAAACAATTTAATAATTAAAATAGCACAGTATTTGATAATCATCAATCAATAAGATTATAAAATTATAAATTTCCAACGTAATCGCTAATTTGTTGCATTGTCGCGCAGCAAACTGAATATGTAGTTCGCTTATTTGCCTCGTTAATTGGGAATGTTGTCAAATTGTTACGGAAACTCCCAAATCCTACTCTTTAAAAGAAAAAAAAAACATATTCCCTGAAATCTGCTTACATCCGACCTGTTATAAAGTTAACTTTGGTTATAATAATGCTACTGTTAGAGCTTGTTAAAGCGAACCTCCACTGTAAACGCAGCTAGTCCGATTAATCTCGAAGAGCAAAAACTGAGAGTATTCTACTTAGCCGGTTCCACATATGCTAATAATATCACACATAATTACATACTAATTTTCAGCACTAATTAGCGACTTTTTAGCTAGCATGTTTATCTTTAAATACGTTCTCTGATGGTTCACTTTGCGCCGCATTCGGCTCAAAGTTGGACAATACTGAATTTGAGGACAGTTCTTCCGAACTTCCTTTACTGCCAGCATATTCCGGCAGTTCGTTTGAGCTGGGGGTTAATGGGGGATGTTGCATTCGAAGATTATCGATCACGTCCAAAAGATTCTTTGAATCCATTGCCAAAATATGAGCCGTACTCAACATGCCTCTGCAAAAAACCGTTGGAGAGTTTATTAATCCATTTTAATCATCAGACGATAATGGGAAACCATTTGCAGTTTTGTGGGCTGATTTTAAAGCCATATTTGAAGAAACCAAATGGTTTCTTTTGCGAAAAAAATCGTATTAAGTGTGCAAACAATTACTTTCGATATTCTGCATCCAAAGTGGTTCTGCTGTATTGTTGAGCCAGTTTCATGGCACTGACCAAGTCGCTCATGTCCTTCGAGAGCACTTTATGGGCCATTTCGACTTCGCGCAGCATACTGGCAGGCAAACTGCTCACAATTTCGTCTACACTGGTGAGCAACAGCCGTAGCTCCAACCCGACGTTTTTCACCAGATTCAAATACTGATCAAACCGCGAATGCTGCACGCCTTGCGACAGCAACATTATGGCTTTTACCACTTCAGTCGTGCATTTATAAACTCTATCGTTCTCTCGCTCCAAGCTAAGGGCTGGCATGGAGTCCTGGAAAAATGTGCTCTATTTAACCGTTAATTACTTCAATAAGAACGAAAACCTTTGAGTGAGGGAGGCGCTCCAAACTGTTCAGCCTGCTCGCGGACAGAACAGGCGAAGAACTTTTGCTTCGGTTCAGCGACTCAGAGCTGCTCTGCAGAGTGGCGCCAAACCTGACCGAGCTCAGGTCCTGAGCAGCTCCCCCCGGGTCTGAATCTGCGGTATTGGAATTGTGCGATTTGTTCAAACTCTCCAAACTGGTTGCCTCGGATGGGACGGCACTGAAACGCTTTTCCTGAAACATTGCCTGTTAAAACAAATCGCTTCTCAAACGCTAAGTTTACCAAGTTAGTTTCAGTCTCAGCTAACCATCGGGAATCCTCGTTGGACTCCAGCTGCTGCTGGCGCAAACGGCGCTCCAAAACATGCTCAGTGATTGGATGGATAATTTCCCTGGCACTATCCGACATCAGTTGGGCTGAGAGCTAAAAACACACACTTTATCAACCACTTATTGGAAGCAAGCGCAGGAAAACGTGCCAAAAGCCAAACGAAATAAGCGCTCAACAAAACAAGAGCGGTGTTTTTTCCTTATAGTCCATTCATATTAGTCAAAATAGGGTAACACGCTCGGAATTCAAGATAACAAGCTGTAAACTCGCAAAAACCTTTAGGTCAACGTCCTAAAACTTGTCCCAAAACCTACTTATTATAGTGTGGACGCGACTGTGGATAACTAAGGTCAAATATAAAAAAAAACGTCTTTTTGTGCAAATATATTTCGGTTCCGGTAACCTTTACGGTATTTAAATTTATTATGAATATTGTAGTAGATTAAATTCTCTACAACTTTTGCTTCAAAAATTTTTTTATACGTTAAACCATTTTAAAACGGGTTTTAATACCGTAAAACTTACAGAAAACGAAATGTGTATTTGCAAAAAATGCGCAAAGTAGGTTTTAAAACAAGTTTTAGGATGTTAAGATAAAGGTTTATACGACTTTAGAGCTTGTTATCTTGAATTCCGAGGTGAAACGCTAATTTGACTGGACTATTAAGCAATCGCGAGTTTCCCCTTTAAACAGCTCCTGGGGCTAAACACTCTAAAATCAACGTCTAGACTAAAAAACCACGCACATGCAGCGGGGAAAAATCAAAACTGCACTAAACATGCCTGGGTTGGTTCGCAAACCTGTGAAGATGGTTGATAGTACTTATCAACAGAGCGAGATTGTGCAAGTAAAGGCTGCTTATGTGCGCAGCTTTTCACATTGTCGCCCCCAAAATCGTAAAGGCTCTCCTCAACGTCGGTGTTTTTATAAACCACCGGGTCTGGATGGTAGTTCGGAATGGACTCTAAAGTGTAATTAGTGTTGCGACTCAAAGAGGAGGCGTATGAGTTAAAACTGTGGCCCCTCTCGAGCGAATGCACGTTTGTCCTGCCGCTGTTGTTAAAATGCGAATTTGCCGATCTCGGACTGCGATCTAAAGATCCAGATTTCAGAAAATCTGTTTTTTCCGCCGAATGGATTGGCACTGAGCTGTCGCTATCGCACAGCGCGGCGCTGTCGAGCGATTGCGATTCCAGCGGAACTTCTGGATCGAGCTTTTTAAGGCTGCCCATTGGAATGAGGCGCGTTTTCAAAACGGGATCGGGAATATCGTCTTTTTTATCAAACTCTACTGCTACTGTGTTAAATACCGAAGCGGGCACGGTGTACATGGCCGGAGTGATTCCTCTGTTCTCGTTCTCTCTCATCAAATGCGCCAGAACTTCGGGATTTTGCGCCACTATGTAGGTTTGAGGCATTGGACTTCCTGACTCTGCGTTCGGAATCGACACCGATTCTAATACTACGAAAGGAAATTATCGGTTGGACGCATTCAAAACTACTAAGCAAAAAACTGCTTACCTGGATATCTGGAGGGTTTCGGCGGCGGACTGACATCATCCATTGAACTCCAGGACATAGCGGCCACCCTTCGAGTTTCGCGTCTCAAAGTGTTTTGCTGGCTGCTTCTTTCTTCAAGTAGAATTTCCTGGAGGATTTCTTTGATATCCTTAAAACTGGGGCGTTTGCTCGGCTCGTACGACCAACACTGCGACATCAGCGAGTAAAGACGCGGCGGACAATTCTCGGGCAACGGCAATCGTTCGCCGTTTTCGATTTTTCCAATCACGTCGTTGTTTTTTACCCCTTGAAAGGGCTTCACTCCCAACATTAAGATTTCCCAGATGCACACGCCTGAAAACCAAACAAATTCCCTGTAAAACTATTGAAAAATTGATGATGTTAGGGTGCAGTCCTAACATTAGCTCGAGAAACACTCAAACGATTAAGCTGCATTTTCAAAACTTTTTGCTTGAATATCTGATCTTAACACTACTGTTGTCTTCTATTACAGATTGATAAAGAGTGCTCTTGTTTCACCATAACGAACCAACTTTTGGTTGGTGTGTCTATCTCTCTACCATAATCGACGTTTCTTAAAAACGATTTTCGATATTCATTTTTACTACGAATTGATAGACCAGTTCTATATGGTTGAGACGGATTTTTTAAAATTAATTTTAATTATTAAAACAAAATCTAAAATGCAACCATCAGATTTACTGCATTTACTGTTGAGTTAACCATCAGATATTATTTTTTTCAGACGTATATGTATACGTCTGAAAAATAATCCGTCTCAACCATATACCGGGTGTCCCGTAAGAATGCTAGAAGATTTTACAAAGAGCACAAAATTGTGAATAAATGATTAATGCATCAACCTTAAAAAAGTGAGTTGATTTCATCCTCCAACTAAAAAGTTCTGGTAGTTTTTGTACCACGACACTCAAGAATTCACCACTTGTCTAAAACGGCTGAACTCGATTGTTTCATCAAAATATAAGTCTTACATAAGAACAAATTCACAGCGAGTTTCCCTAAAATACATCGTATCATTCTCCCGATATTTCAAAAAAGATATTTTTTTTTGAAGAGCTTTGGCCATCAAGAGTAGAGGAGCGAGACATTTTTTTGTTAGGTCAGATCGTCTTCTTTTGGTTCAAAGAATATCGCAGTACCTTTTTGATCATGAGCTTACGGGACACCCGGTATATGGTTGAGACGGTTTTTTTTTCAGACGTATATATATACGTCTGAAAAAAATAATACCTGATGGTTAACTCAACAGTAAATGTCTAGCATTGCTAAGTGACTAGAAAACAGACATATTTTTTTACGTTAAAACTATGAATGCTACAATATTTTACAAAGAGCACAAAATTGTGAACAAATTATTAGTGCATCAACCTAAAAAAAATCAGTTGGTTTCATCGTCCAACTAAAAAGTTCTGGTAGTTTTTGTACCACGACATTCAAGAATTCACCACTTGTCCAAAACAGCTGAACTCGATTGTTTCATCAAAATATGAGTCTTACATAAGAACAAATTCACAGCGAGTTTCACTAAAATACATCGTACCATTCTCCCGATAGTTCGAAAAAGATAATTTTTTTGAAGAACTTTGACCATTAATAGCAGAGGAGCCAGACATTTTTTGTTAATAAAAGTTAGGTCAGATCGTCTTCTTTTGGTCCAAAGAATATCGCAGTACCCTTTTGATCATGAGCTTACGGGACACCCTGTAGAACTGGTCTATCAATTCGTAGTAAAAAACGCAAGAAAATTCGACGAGTCTAAACCACGCAAACCACACACTTACCAAACATCCAAACATCACTAGCAGTGGTAAACCTGCGAAAATTGATGCTTTCGGGGCTCATCCATTTGATGGGCAGTTTGCCTTTAGACGCCCTGTAATAGCTCTGTTCTTGGCCCATCCATCTGGACAGTCCGAAATCGGCCAGCTTCACACTGGTTTCGGAACTGACCAACACATTTCGGGCTGCAATGTCACGATGAACGTATTTCTTCGATTCCAAATAGCTCAGCGCGGTGGAGAGTTGAAAGGCAAAGGTTAGGAGCGTTTCCAGTTCCAGTAGGGTGCGGTTGCTTTGCAAATAGGCGCGCAACTCGCCCAATTTGGCCAGTTCCATCACTATCCATACTGGCGAGTCTGAGCAGATGCCCATCAGCTTAATTATATGGGGATGGTCAAACTTTTGCATTATATCTAGAGTTAAAGGGAAATAATGAGTGAAACCCAATCAGAGGCAAGTGTGAGGAAGTGGGACTTACATGCTTCCTCCAGGAATTTGTCTGTCGTGGACGCATCTGCGTCACTTTTGCACGTTTTAATCGCGACTGGAATGGTAGTGCCTTCTTTGGTCATCACTGTGCCTTTGTGAACGTCCCCGAACTGGCCCTTGCCTAATATTATTCCCAGCTCGATGTGGTCGCGATTTAATTCATAGTCTCTCACTGAAATAAAAATTCACTCAGCTTTCTCAGCGTCAAAATACTCAAATATTACCAGCGGGAACCGAATAGTCGCCCTCCTCAATAATTTCCGCATAATCCTCTGCGAGCAGGATCCCATCGTTATTTCCCAGCTTGTGCCTGCCTCCAAACCTCTTGCGGTCTGCTTCGGAAAAATCTACAAAAACGCCCGTTTAGTCTCTGGTAAACCTTCCAGGCAGGCCTTTAACCTTCAGCAGTCCAAACTGAGCACTCAGCTTCGGAATGTATTCGGCAATAGCCATCGATTAGATCCGCCAGGCTTTCAGCGACTGCAGCGTTCGGACAGATGAAGCAAAGGATCTCAGCGCTAGTGGTGAGTTTCAGTCGAAGAGCCACCTTGGAAGTTTCTTTGCAGTCTTCAATCTTCAGTTTATTTATGTGCTTGAACTCGATCCTCCTTGCAGCTGAAGCTTGGATGCCGACATCCGGCCCGATAATCAGCTCGATTGGAATGGTGAAGCTTTCACTGGTTCCGTAATCCACTTCGAATCGCTCTTGATCGCATTGAGTGTGCAGTTTCAGCAGCTCCAAGAACTGCAGCATGCAGTCCAGCTCGCTGGTGTTTGCCAGCTTTTTGCAGTGGGTTTGAATGTGCTTTTTCAGCAGTTTTGGCTTGATTTTATCCAGCATTCCATGCGGGATGAATCTTTGCAAGCCGATCTCACGGTCCAAGTACTCTAGCGTTGATTTCTTGTCCAGTCCAGTCGACGCGTTGGACAGATATTTCCGAATATCCAAACAGCAGATCTGAAGCGCCACGTCCTGATCCACTTTGGTGTGCAGTTCTAAGTAGTAATCGCTTCTCACCTGCCACAGCAAACTGATTTTAGAATCTCACATTATGCAGTCAATTAATCTCCACTGACCTGCTCATAATAGAAATTGAATGTCGCTGTATCTTTATTGGCCAGTTCTCGCAGTGTTTCCGGAAGGTACCTGATGCGAAGATCGTACCGCCAATCGGCCCCCGGACACTTTTGAAGGTACTTTTCCTGCACTTGTTGCATGGTGAAGTCCTTATGCAACCAGTAAACCTAGAGAAAACGGCCCCAAACCGCCTGTTATTCGCGAAAAAGCGACTAAGTGACTTCGCTTGGTACCTCTTTGGAGGACGGCCTAGTGAGTCGCATTGCGTACAATCCACTAAAATATCCATTTCCAGTGGATCGTCGCTCTTGCGTTACAATCGTGATGATTCCTTGTATGTTGATGCTGCCGCCATGCCGCACCACGTTGAAGCCCCCATTAGGAAGACAGACCTGAAATGGGCCCAATTGATTATTGCTGCACAGGCAAAGTGAGCAGCGTACTTTTACGGTTCCTTTATCTGAAGATGCATTCTGAGCCAAATCTGACTGCTCCATATCCAGTTATATTGGACAGGGATGCCAGGAGATCGTTTCACTTCGATGCAACATCAGGATGAACACTAAAGAATCGTTGGGTGTTCAGGAAACTTGCATTTATTCCTTAGGAAACATGAGGCAGTAACATTAGAAATAATACTCTTTTTACGTTGTTTTGTAATGAAGGATTTTGATTCAATAACGGGATTTGGGTCTATGTAAAACCAGAAATCTGTTTTTAAGTTTCCGACGTTTCGCCTAATTTATTTAGGCCTCCGCGCCCACCAAATTAACTAACTTTTCATGAATTAATGACATTTTCAATTATATCTCGCAAACTGTGAAAATCTTGGAATAACCGCTAAAACCTTTTCGATTGAGCGTCTCGAAAACATCTTTTCCTATTTAGGTTTAGTCAGATATTCCTAACTTTTACAGAAATAGAAGCAAAAATAGAAAAACTTTAAAGGTTGAAACATCTTCGATCTTAAACGCACTGGAAAACATCTAAAATTAACGAATAACACAAATACAAATGAAAATGTGCCCACAATTTCGCTGAAACTAAAAACCATACTCACATTAAGTGACATATTTAAGAAACAGAACTTCAATCTTATTAATTATGGAGTCACTTGTGAATAACATATTGCTTCATTCAGAAACTATTAAGTATAAACACTGAGTGTTCAGAAGACAGCTGAGCTTCAGAAGAGCAACAAAATGCGCTTGTTCTCTACAGCCAACGAGCTTTAATTGGCATTTCCTGAGTTCTTAACAAGGAGCCCCCAAAAGCACTAGAATTTCTGCCCCAACTAATATAGAACAGATTTTCAACTCACCTGATGAGGCACGAGTCCAAAAGCACCGATTTAAAGTCACAATTTGTCAGTTTCACTTGAATGTTGTACCATTTTGTTCAATGTTTAATTATTGATTTATTTATCCCACATCGTTTGAAAGGTTATGTATGGGCGAGGACAGTTTCATGAATTGCCCTTTGCGGATGTGGCAACATCGAATAAAGCAATATAGACAATTCTGAAAATCAAAATTGTATTCACCAATAATAAGTTATGGAATGTATTTGCGAAAATTAGGGAATTTTTTGGAAGATCTAAGTACTTTTACAGGAGAGAGCGCAGTTTGGTAAAATAATCCATTTCAAAATAAATTTATTATTATTGTTAATATTATGGCCTCTAGACAGCGTTGCCTCTGTCACAACAGAACATTGAGCTGATGGTGGCAACACAAGACAGCTGTCAGTTCAGTCAGTTTAACTGACATCTGTCTCATTCGTTTGCCGCCTTTTACAATAAATAGACCGAGTAGTCGTTAACAAGAACTTTCGAGTGTGACTCCCTTTGTTCTTAGCGTTTAAAAATCAAAAAGTGCATTAAAAATAGTTAAGCCATTTTAAGCAAACGGTCCAGCCATGTTCGAAGCGCGTTTAGTGAACAGTTCAACCTTTAGAAAGGTTCTGGACGCAATCAAAGACTTGTTAAACGAGGCGTCTTTTGATTGTTCTGAAAATGGAATTCAGCTGCAAGCCATGGATAGTTCGCACGTATCTCTAGTTTCCCTCAATCTGAAATCGGATGGTTTCGATAAGTTCCGTTGCGACCGCAACCTGACCATGGGGATGAACTTAACTAGGTAAGGGCCACGTTTTTTTTTTGGTTTTTGGCTTGTTTCTATCTGTTCTTCATTTTTCAGTCTAGGGAAAGTGTTTAAGTGCTCAGGGGCCGATGATACGGTCACCATGAAGGCCCAAGACTATGCAGATACAGTAACGTTCATGTTCGAGTCGAAAAAGCAAGATAAGATTTCCGATTACGAGATGAAGCTGATGAATCTAGACCAGGAACATTTGGGGATTCCAGACACCGAGTTTTCCTGCATCATCAAAATGCCCTCAATTGAATTTGCCAGGATAATAAGAGATTTGTCTCAGTTTGGCGAGTCCATTGTGATTTCCTGCACCAAGGAAGGCGTCAAGTTCTCAGCCCAGGGCGATATTGGGACTGGCAATGTTAAGCTGGCCCAAACCCACAACTTCGATAAGGAAGAGGAATCGGTCACCATTGATCTACAAGAGCCAGTTGCCCTAACGTTCGCCTGCCAGTATTTGAACTCCTTCACAAAGGCAACTCCCCTCAGCAACCAAGTGAAGCTTTCAATGTGCGAGAATGTTCCATTGGTTGTTGAGTACCAGATTCCCGAGTTGGGCCATTTGCGATTTTATTTGGCCCCCAAGATCGAAGAAGACGAGAACTGAGCCCCAATTTTTACTTCCTATCTCATCACTGTTAACGTTGTTTTAAGGTTTTGGAAAACATCAGGATATGCTGAATACTCCAATGATAATATAAGTTTTATAACTGATTCATTTTTTGATCTCATTCGTCTATTTTGAGTTGGAACAACCTGCGGTTTCCCACTTTCTTTAGTTGGAGAAATGCGAATTTTTTGCGGATCTTCAACTTTTTATTTAATCAATTGTTTAATATTTGACAACAAAATCAAAAATCGTATTTGAAGATTCTCTAAATATTACAGAATGAGTCGGAACGAAGAGCATTAAGAAGTAGGTCTGGGTTTCAGCTCGTCAAAACAGCTCCTCAGATAAATGTAGTTCTTCTTTTGAGGATTGTGATACTCATGACCTTTGCTCCAATCGTAGCTGACGGCATAGGCGAATATCTGGCCATTGTGGTTGAAAGCGCACGTTGAAATCGATTGTTCCATCTCGCTGGAGGCTTTCAGTTTAGTGCGAGCGTCCTTGTCCCAGAAACTGAATGTTCCATCGGACCCTACAGTTGCTAAAGTGCCGTGAACTGGATGAAAAGCCACATCATTCACCGCATAAATATCCTGGAATCCATTCGGCGTGCCATTCGAGCGATGGCATTTGAAGGTGAAGTTGTCTTTGACTGTGGTTGGGTTTACGTATTGAATGGCAACCCGACCTTCGATCGAGCCGAGTGCATAACCTGCGGGTTGTTTCTTTTTATCCCTGCAAAAAAAAAGGCTTCAAGATCGGCTCTTTGAAACTTTGAAGACTCTTACTTGAAAATCTTCATACATCTGTGTTGGTACTTCAAGGGACTGTCCAATTTCTTGAATTCCTGCGGCTTTCCTTCGAGTTGATAAACGATAATGTGTCGATTAGCCGTACCGACAACGGCCATCGGATAATCCACATCGGCACAGTAACACCTTTCAGGCAGATTAATACTCAGCATGGGAGTTGGACTTCTCGTGTCCCAGAATTTGAGGGTTTTGTCCCAAGAGCCAGTCATTAAGCAGGGGTAGTTGGGGATCCAATGGCATGTTTTTATTGGGGCATCATGAACGGCCACTTGCACTACTTGGTTGCTGGCCAAATCCCACATTTTGGCTTGTTTCTCGCAGCCAGCCATAAATACCTTAAATTAAGTAAATTCTTTCATGAAATGAACGTTGGAATCTTCTCAGTTTCAAGCTAAATCCTTGCTTTTCAATCAACATGTGGTGGTTCCAATAAAATTTGGCCTGTGTTCAACAAAAAGCCACTGTTTAGGAGCCAGTTCCACTAGTATGAGAGCGAATATTGTTTCTTCAGCCGCGCTACAGGATTATTGTTCTGTTTATGTCCAGTGCTCGTTCAAGACCTTATGTAAAATCAGGCTGCGCTCAGACCCTAATGAAATTTTCTCACTTATTAGACAAAACCTTCCTGTTGACCGGGTCAAAAATTTCAATCGCCACTTGTACTAGTTCGAAATTTTTTTTAATTCCCACCCTCATCTAAGGTTTAACTTACCTTGGTCCCATCCTCACTCCAAGCCACATCTAGCACTGGCCCGCCGCAGGACTGCATCGATTTCGGAATGCTGGTTCCCGACTGTTCAATTTCCCACAATCTCACATTGTTATCCCAACTGCCAGCTACCAGGAACGTTTGCGGAATGGCTGCTGGAGAAAAAGCCAGAGAACTGATGGAATCATCTGGCGGCTGCACCACTTCATAATCGTTCATCGGATTGGGCTTGGCCACTGTTGTCGTAGAGGCAAAACTGCCTATAGAGCTTTGATTGTACATCCTCCTAGCCCAGATCGAACCTGGAGATTGAGGTAATGAGGAGTTTTTGAGCAATATGATCAAGTTCCACAACACAGATTATTGGATTCATACACACCTTTACTCACAGGACTTGTTAACTTTACAGCAGTCGAAAGGTTTTACAGAATCTACAATATTATTAATTTACACAACAAACTTAACAATTTTGTGTTTGATTGATCGCAAATTGACAAACACAGACTACTCACTATGTTGTCAAATAAACTGAGCAACATTTATCAGGTTAGGCAATATACCAGCCTGGGCAATAGAGAGGACAAATCAGCATTATCAAATCGCCGTTTTGATCCAACTATTTAACTTTATAAGGTAGCCGCAAAGCACCCAGAAGGCTACGCTTAGACAGAGAGGAATTTTTAGCCTAAGGGGACTGAAATTCCAGCCAAAAGGCCTTAGCCCCATTTGTTCTGCTATTGGCACCATTGAGAAACCAACTGGTTGGCACTCCTTCAGTTGCCAGCTGCGCCATTTGCCGATACCACACCGAAAAGTCTGATCCCAACTTGTCCCGGAATTAGTTTCGGATAAGTTGTAAAGTAACTGAGATAGTAGTGTTGCTGAGTTAAAAAATCGAAAATTATGGCATCCCTTTGTGCTAGAATGGTAGCCAGTAACGCACGGAGACACATTTTTTCGTCCAGCATCCGTTGCTCATCGAAAGGTGAGTCTGCCTATCCACATTACGTAATTGGATGTTCGATTTTCATGGAAATTGAGTGGTTTTGAGGGTAGTTGGTAGAGCGGCTTGGTCGGACACTCGCTCGAGAAACTGATAATGCAAATTCAACATTTCCGATCACAATACCCTACATTACTAACGTGTAGACGGTCTCAAGGAAAATATTGAGAAACATCATTATTTGGAACCGTTAAAGCTCCTTAATGAACGTTTGAGGCCTCACAAGAATCAGTACCATTTGCAAATAGGGAGGGGATAATCACCTATTAATGCTCTGCCTTGGCACGCTAAGCAATATCTTTATTGAAACCCGAGTGGGTTTCAATAAATTTAGCCTTCTAACTTAGGGGAAAGATTCCTTTTTGGTGTGGCAAAGAAGGCACCACTTGCCCTAGTTTGGAAGTTGCGACCGCTAGTGGCTCCACTGCAAGTGAGGAATCGCGCATTTCAATTGCTTATGAAAAATCCTCCAACATTCCGATTTTCATAAAACGATCCCAACTTTTAACCCAAACCTTCGTTATTACACCAACCAAATTTCAAGTTGCTGCCATCAGGAAGATCAACCATTGTCCTTCTTTAAGCTCAAACCTTCCGTTTTTCCATGAGTCATTTTGAAGCCATTTATTCTGTTTTTTTCAGTAACGTTGGGCGATCCCGTGGAACATGCGACTGGTCTAGAAAAGCGCGAAATCCTGGCCAAGCTCGCCGGTAACGACAACCCCTTTGATATGCGAGTGATCAAAAGGGGCGTAGGCTCTAAAGCCCAACCCACCCCGATTCCATCTGCGTTCGATTCAAGACTGGTGGGTTGTGTGTGTGAAGAAGAAGCCACCACCATTAATTGGATGTGGCTCCACAAAGGAGAACCAAGAAGGTGTGAATGCGGCCACTGGTTCAACTTGGTTCACAAGGCTCCTGTATAACTTACTCATTGTTGTAAATTAGATATGTCTATATAGTATTTAAAAAAATGATTCAAATCAGTCATTCATTGTCTATTTTTTGTCCACTCAAAATTCTCGCTCACGAATTACTAATTTTACAATGAACAAAATTTTTTTTTGATGGTGCATTTCCAGAAAAATATCGTTTTATAATCAGAGATTATACAACAGTAGACTACTCTACTAACCTTTGGTGGAATAATGAAACATATCTAGTATCCACAACTTTTGAATTTATCTGTCGTATTAAGACCACTTGGGCGTTGCCAAACATAACCAAAACGATGTGGCTTTCCCGCATTTGCTCGAAACTTGACAGTTGACCTGTATCGACGTCATTTCTTGAAGTTTGTTGTCGATCTAGCCTCCTTTCAGTCTTGGTCCGTTCAAGGTATGTGTTTTAATGTGGTTTTTCGTTAAATACTAGTTTACTGCTGGTGAAATTTGCAGACTATTAACTGGAAACTGTACTTTAATATACCCGCTTTCATCGTACGTAAGAATATTTTGGGGATGGCTAGTTTTCATTTAGATAAATCCAGATTTACTTCTTGGATCTGCGGTACTCGCCACTCATTTGAAGAGAGAACCATTGCATTTTTAGAGTTGTGCGGCTTATTTCGGCAAGTTCTAGTGAAAATCCGTGGCGGTGTATCTTCAAAAATCCCCAGCAAGTTTGAGGAGAAAGTCAAGATTTTCGTGTTGCTGTTGTTGATGAATTTCCACTACTTTAAACCTCTAGGGCTTATTGCGCCCCCCATTTCTATAGATCCGTAGCCTCGGCTTCCATTGTTAATTTCAATCAAGTCGTTCGCGTATCAACCTACATTGACATAACCATCAACATTTTCTTAAAATTTTAATAGGTTTGCTTTCTTTGCAGATGACGTCCAAAATCATAAAGCCAGGTGGGGCTGAGCCCGACGCATTCGAAAATCAGGTTTCGCAAGCTCTACTCGAGCTCGAGTTGAACTCGGACTTGAAATCGCAGCTCCGTGAGCTTCATATAACGAAAGCCAGGGAAATTGAATTAAATCAGAAGAAGGTAAGCATTGCAATCTACTTAACTGCAAAAGTTCATCAATTCTATGACATTTCTTGTTGCAGTCGATAATCATCTATGTGCCGATTCCCAAGCTGAAGCAATTCCAAAAGATCCAAATCCGTTTGGTCCGTGAACTGGAAAAGAAGTTCAGCGGCAAGCATGTGGTCTTTGTGGGCGAACGAAAAATTCTCCCCAAACCTACACGTAAAACCAGATTGCGAAACAAGCAGAAACGTCCACGTTCTAGAACTCTGACTGCTGTCTACGATGCTATTCTGGAAGACCTCGTTTATCCTGCCGAAATTGTTGGCAAGAGGATCCGAGTGAAACTCGATGGATCGTCGCTTATTAAAGTCCATCTGGATAAGACTCAACAGACAACAGTTGAACACAAGGTAAGTGACATTATTTTGGCCAAAACAACGCATTTTGTGCAAAAGTCAATCTAAAATCTGAAATGCGTGTGTTTCGATTTCAGGTGGACACTTTTACTTCCGTTTACAAAAAATTGACGGGCAGGGAAGTTACTTTTGAATTTCCTGAATCGTATTTGTAAGATGTGACTTAATACATACAGGTGTTAAGTAAGGAACAATATCTTTTATTTTGTGCACTATCCTCAATCAACAACAACTCTCATTTACTTGAGCCATATACCTTTAATCCTTCCCGTTCCTTTATGTGTTCAAATGCTTCATTTCAGCTGTTCGAAATGTGGAATTTTGGGTTTGTTAGGATCTGGCGAATAATTCAGCTTTGTTTTCTTTAAATATATTGTGCAAACCATTTCAAAACTTAATCACTATCACTTGAAAGGCACTTGATTCTCCGTCGTTTGGGCTTCTGGGGCTCGGCACTATGACAGGCTTTGTTCTTGCGTTTGATTTGTAGTTTTTTCTCCAAAACGCTCAGCTGCGATAGTTGGTTGATTTGCGTTAGCTCTTCGTCATCAACATCCACGCAAAAGGAGTCCTAAATAGTTTTTTTTAATAATTCATCCAATCTAGTAAATGGTCTTTATAATAACTACCTCAAGATAATCGTCTGGTTCTTCTGGCGGCATCTGGGAGTAAATTTGGCTAAGTCTCATAGGCTTTTGCTCTAATAAGGGCTTTCGATGGCGATGGCGCGGGCTTCTGAAAAACCCAGTAATGATTCTGTTTGTATCAACTGAAAATTATCCACTTACTTTACAGAGCGTAAATACATGCCGTGAATTTCCGTGTTGAATAGTTGGGATTTGTCATTCACAAAACTGATTTCGTAGCCATCGGAGATTTCTTCCTCATCATCGGAAATGAAGACGCTGTCTTCATTTGATACTTCTGCCTCAAGGTCCAAGAATTCGTTTCCCTGCAATAAGAGTAACATGCAAATAACTGCAATCAAAAAATGTGTTCCGGTTTATACTCACATCTTTGGCTTTATTTGCATGTTTTCTGACTTTGGTAGAAGTGGCAATTTTCACATTCTCCTTCTGACTCGCCGACTTCTGTTGTTTTTGTCCATGAAATCGACTTCTGTTACACAAGATGCTCTCTTCAAAATCATCATCAGAATCTCCAAAAAACCGCGGAGCTGAACCGTTCAGTGTGTGGTTTCTGTTGCTGCTGGTAGTTTGAGTTTTGTTCAAAATATTCACCAATTGAGTAATGCTAACGTTGCCACTTGTTTCCTCTGGAGGTGCCACAATGTCTGGAGGAGTGGCATCTTCATCATAAAATTCATGAGTGATTAAAGACGCATTATTCTTGAACAAGGTTGATTCTTGGCTCAATTCTAAATGCCATTTTTCGTTTTTTTCATGATTAACACAACATGTTATTCCATTATTTGCTACTTCATTGGAGCTGGACGTAATCTGTTGGGTTTTAGCCTCAAAGTCCCGAATATCTTGTTCGCTTAGTCCATAATAGGATAGATCGCACATATCTGCGATAGCACAATTTTCAATTTCAACAGGACTTGATTGATGAAAAACCTCCTGATATGACTGAAGCATGAAGAACTCGAGCAGATGTTCATCAGAAATTGCTTCTTCATCTTCAATTAACGTGTCCATTAGCCGCAAGAAACCTTTAGGAGCTTCAAAGGTATGAAATTGCTCTTTGGGAGGTTCATGCATAGGCTCGCACTGTTCTTCAAACTGCGACAAAGTGTCCAAATCATCATCAACTAACTGTTGCGCGTAGGAATTTCCATCGATTATTGCCATGTAATCTTCGATGCTCTGCAGATCTATTTGCTGGATTATTTCCTCATTTGGGATGATTATTGTCTGGCTGAAGGTCGCCGAAGGATTTGTAACAACAAAGTTCGAGCAGTCGAATCCTTTAGGGCAGAATACGCAATTTGGCGTAGAACGAGTGAGTTCTTCGTATAAGTAGTTTGAAATACTTCGGCATATGTCGTCGATTGGGAACGTTTTGGGTTCCCTTTGGGATATCAAAAGGGTTTCTGTTGAGATCGACGATATTTCTTTTTCTAAAATGGCATTAATACTCTAAGCCCCTAAAAACTAAGCCAAACTTACCGAAATCTTCCACCGAAGCTGGGCGCTTTTCTTGGAGAAACATCCTTCTAATGTCGCCTTGTTTTAGGGACTTTCCGGGATCTTCATCGCTTTTCCCTGGAACAATTAAAGTCAAACTAGAACAAACAATTTATATCAAACTACCTTGAGTTTTTGTCGGGATATTAAAACGCTTTGCATCGGCAAAAGACAGCAAGTCACTTAGAAGTAAAGCATTCTCAGAGTGCCCAATCAGGCAGGCTTTTTGTGGCGTTCGCATGCTCTCGATGTGTCGACTGAAGAGTGGTGCATGTGTCGGAACTTCCAACGGATTTCCTGTAGAACAACCGCTTGAAGCTTGGCAAAAGTTAATTTAATGGTTTACCTGAAAAAGTGGACCTCATTGGAGTTTCTGTAATTAAATCTTGGTGACTGGAAGAACAAGACACGGAATCTTGGCTGAATACTATTGCTCTGGATGAGTGCTGTTTCAATTTATCCTAGAATTTTTACTTGTACCTTTTCTCCTTGAATGTTTTGTGTGTACTCACCAGCAGTGAGTTTTTCGAGGGTTTTTCTTTCACAGTGATAAAAATTTTCTCGCATCTCGGAACCAGATCGGCGGGAATAAGACTAGGATTATCCGGATAGAGGTTATTCCTCAAATAGCTTGACCCCAGCACATGGGTGGAGATGTTGTTCTTATGAATAAGACAGTCTTTGAGCGTCTGTTGCTCCTTCCCTTCCGTTACCAGCACCAGAACACTTCCTTCCCGTTTCCTCCCGGTTCGCCCCATTCTTTGGACCATGCGAATGGGGGATTTGTTGGAAATATCAAAGCAGACGATAAGGTCAACTTCCCCAATATCTAGCCCTTCTTCGCCTATGCAGGTGGAGAGTAAAGTGTTGCACCTGCCCTCCTTAAAGTCCCTGACGACACCTAGCTGGGTCTTTTGCGTCACTCCAGATCCCTGTCCCAGAAACACCCTCGGCTGGATGAGCGGTCGGGATTGGAGCAGCAAAGTGTGCGCTTCCATCACTGACTCTCTGTACTCAAAAAACACCATAACGCGGCTGTTTCCGGTGGTTTCGTTTCTGAAATGTTTAGTGAGAAGATCACGCAATTTGTAGTGCTTTGGGTGGCCGAATTTGATGTCAGAGGGGATCTGAAACAACCCATCAAATGTCGTGTTTTGTGTATTTAAATTCAACGCACCGCTGGGTAGGTTCCATCGGGTAGGAGCTGCATTTGAGGGATGGGGCCTAGATAGGCCCTAACTTGTTCTAGGATTAGTCTTAGGTTTGTGTTGCCTCTTAAAAGGGGCTTTTCAATGTGCTCTGGAAATGGACAGAAAAGTTGTAGGAAATTATATAAAAGTTCCTAAGCCCCAACTAACCATCGAAGAAGGACAAGAAGTTTCGCAGCCCGTGTCTGATGAGCAGTTCCAGCGCGTGATATAACGTGACGCAAATATTTAAACATCTCATTATTTCTGAGTAGTTCGAAGTACTGAAATACGCAAAGATTAATTGGTGATGAGCGAAGCCAAACTGCGACTTGCCTATGGCCTTTGTTTTTGCTCTGAAAGTCCTTCATTAGCATGAAGATTTTCCCCTTCGTTAACCAGCCGCAATTTCCTTGGATTATGTTGTGCTGGATTAGGGTTCTTGCATAGTATTCTACTATCTAAAAATCACTGACAAACTCGATTCGTTAAAGCTGGTTTTAATAATTTTACCTTCATGTATTCTTCTTTAATTTCCAAAAGCTTTTCATCCAGATGCACCACAACCGTTTCTAAAGACCTTTGGAAAACATACGGGTGCACATCCACGCTTTCCTCTGTTCGGAACTCCAGATGGGAAATCAGCAAGTTGTTCACTACCTGGAAATTACACAAATAGGAAAATTGTTGAGTTTTTAACAGGAAAAACCGTTACTTCAGCAACATCATTAATATTTCCGCCAGGTGTTGCGCTTAAGGCCAAAACGCGGAAATATTTATGACCATTTTTAAGCAGTTTTGCAATCACTTGGCAGTAAGCGTGATTTCCTCGAGCTTTATGGGCCTCATCAAAAACCAAGCATTTAATGCTTTTGCCCAGTTGGGCCACTTTATCCAAGTCGTTCTGCAAAACTTGCGGCGTAACGAAAAACACCCGTTTTTCCAGCCAAATGTTTGCGCGAGACAAAGACGCTTTCGTTCCTAAATGCATTAAAATCCGTTAGAACTGAAGCAAGATTGTATCACTCTATAGCTTACCAGTAAGCTCGGCAGTCACTCCAGCTGGTATGGCCATGATATTGTAGCAAGCCTCAATCTGTTGCTTAACTAACGGCTTGGTTGGTGCCATAAAGATGATTTTCCCTTGTGGGTACCAGCGGTAAAAGTTGTACATTACCACGGCTGCAATGAAGGTTTTGCCCAGACCCGTGGGCAGACTGACCTGGAAAGATCTTTGCTACTTACCCAGGCATTTAATCAGGCCTGTTTGCTTACCAGGGTGTTTTTATGCAGTGCTGCACTAGTGATGTTGTGTTGGTAATCTCTGATGGGGTAATTTGTCGGGTAGGTCCATGTTTGGCCAGCTTGCAGATCGAATCCTTCACTTTCTACGCTCTTACTCAGCGCTATAGATCTAAGAGAAAATCGAATAAATCGTGCAGAAATCTTTGATGGTATATGCGTGTGAATTAAACATGTTGAAGTGTAAAATTAACAAAAGTTGGACTAGATTTGTTGTTCAACTTACTGACTTTGCATTTCCATGTCGTCCGATTGTTTCCTGACACATTCACATCTAGAAGTGCCTGATTTTCATTTCACCGCAATGCGAAAATAATGTTTATAAATATAATAACATAAACAAAACATTTTTTTTTGGTTATAATGATGGACAGTGACATTTGTCATGGAGACGAGCAACATTGCAAACGGGTGGGGCTTTGATGGTATCATTGGAGCATTCTATCTCTCTCTGGCGCTTGATTAAATTTATACTTTTATGTTTTTACGTATGTAACACTATTGTTGTTAAAATAGTTAAGAAAATTCAATTACTGAAGCGATGAATTGAGGAACTAATTAAGTCTGAGCAGGGATGAAACAGTTTGTGCTAAAAAGTGCAAATGTCAGCATAAGTAAGGTCTTAAGGAAGCTAAGAAAAGTGATAAAAAAAGCAGACATTAAGAGCAAAATCAATGTGATGAGGAAATTATACCCAAAACATCAATTCCAAGATATTTCGAAATAGTTTGGGTGTTTGAATCAAATGCAGCTTGACTAATAATATTAACTTTGATACTGGGGCTTTCTAACTCAGCAAAGGACATTTCTGGTAAAGCGCAATCAGTAAAATACAGTCCTCGATATGTTCCATCAAAACGGTTTTAATGACTATTTTGATAATTCCGATAGTTTAGGTAATAGGGAGTCCCAAAGTTTGACGCCCGATTAAAATTTGGCAATTTTACTTCCATTTCATTAAAGGTTAGGATTTCATGACAAGGCCTAACTGGGAAATAGCAGGTCTTGAGACGTTCTATTGAAAAGATCTAATTAATTATTCCGTTATTTTCAAGCGTTTCCGAGATACGGACCCTTAAACTATTGTGGAAGGCAAATTTGGACAATTTTGGTTCCATCTGCTTAGAGGTTAGGAATTCATGGTAGCCTCTGGTAAGAAATGACAGCTTTCAGCAAGTACTTTCAAAAATATTCTAATGAGTATTCGGCTATTTTCAACGGTTTCAGAGATACGGGCTCTTAAACGGTGGCTTCTGCGTGAAATCTGATAATTTTGCTTCCAGCTCTTTAAAGGTTAGGACTCGAATCCAATTAGTAAAAATTAGCATTGCAAGGTTTTATTCAGAAAAAAAAAATAAATGGAAAAGTTGAGGAATTCATCCAATTCGGGACGCGCCGGGATAAGAAGGCCGCCAATATATTTAAAAGGTTTTCCATGATGTAACCGTTCACTTTCCCAAATAGTCGAGGGTTTTTCAGTGTTTTCGCTGGTCACTTAGAGAAAGTTCTAGTCGACTTTTTTCTTTTTGGGTTATTTTGTGCTATCGACCGGAATTTGACCATCTATTAGCATATCAGCAAAATCGATTGTTTCATGCCAAGGGGCTATCGTGGAAAATGCGTTAATTAGTTGCAAGTTGCCGTGAAATGGGAAAAATCTGCATATTCCGGAACGCAAACCATTGCAGGAAAATGTCGCAGAAAAGTTCGGCGAGATCCGACTGCTGCCGATCTGACAAATTTCAGTCTTTGGCCGTTTGAATTTCCGTAGTCGTCCAAGACTTTCCGCCCGAATATGCTGCGGAAATTGTGATTTTCATCCCTTTGCAATCACCTGTTACACGGGGCGGACGTGTTTATACTCGCTAAAATGCAAACAAACGTCCACATTGATACGAAGAACTTGGGATCGTCGCCAGATCATCGAAAAAGCGGCTCTAAGCGACATTTGGAGGTGAGTTACAAAAGAAATATTTTCGGAAAATTGCAACTTTTGCCTGAAATCGCTCGAAGAATCACCTGTTTGCTCTTGATCTGCTCGGTTTACGCGTTATTTGAGTCTATTTATTTTCATCTGGACCTTACAGTGTTTCCATCAGAAGTTTCTCTTCTGTTCTTTGCCCAGTTATTACTTGGATCTTCTAATCTGGGCTGTACTTCATTTTCATTTCTTCTTCACATTTTCTCTATTTCTGCTTTCACGTTTCCTTGTTTTAAGGAGGATTCCTTAAAGGCGTTCGCCCTTATTTTGACTGTTGTTTCCATAAGTTAATCGCACGCTTTCTTAAAATAGCCCATTTTATTTTAAAATATAAACTTCTAGCTAACGCAGGTGTTTCGCATTTTTGAAAGACACATTTCCACGCAATATTGGCTTAATAAACTGCTTTTATTTGCTTAAGAAAACGGGCAAAACATTAAACTTTTCGCTTCCGTAATTTGATCTGAATCTACGGGGGATTTCCGTTCAAATCACTCTCAATATTGGAATATAGAAACCGCCGCATTGGACATAATCTGCACCCTCGTATAGAAGATGTAGCGGGCCAGATGAATAGATGCGCGACTTTTTTCTTCTTTTGATTCTTCGAAAGGCATAGCGGCAAAGTCGTCTAGACTTTTTGCTGACCTGTTCATTTTCTAGATCAGAATCTTCAAAAAAATTGCCACTAATCTGGCTTAGATAGAAATATATATTAAAATGCATTTTCCATTTGTCCAGTTTGAAAAATATTTCAGACTTTCAAGGCTCAATATCGGATTTTTCGATAGTTTCACAGCACTTGGTGTCCCAGAAAATCAGGAAAAACTTCCGTTTAATGTGGGAAATCTATCAATGCGACAAAGCCAAGCCCTTGTCCTTAACATTTCTCTAAATATGGTTACTTTCAAATATCCGGACTCGTCATTTTGGAGCGGATTGAGTGGAGTTGAACGAATCGAAATGTAATGGCGAGCGGCGAAATGTTCCATTTGGAACAAAAGTGGCTCCTTTATTCGATCAGGACAGGAAATGTCGACTATTTAGTTTAGATGAAATGGAAAAACACATAATAAATTGCAACAAAAATGGTTCTGATGTTTCGCTAGCACGAAGGCTGGCATCTTCAGACTTATGTCACCCGATGCGATCACCCTTGTTTCACTTTGGTGTTTCCACACACTTCTGAAGATTTTGGGCATGAGTGCTAGCGAAACGTCAGGACCAAATTCCTAACGACGACAACTCAAAATATGAAAATCAGCCGAATGGCGTCGAAAAATGTTGACCGTTTTATGATTTGATTTTTATTACATGAAACCCTTTTAATTCTGGAGCGTAGTTAGCAACGTATCTCTCAGTCGCACACATAGCGTTCTATGAGAGAGGCAAGATGGCCTACGCATAGCTATGTTCGAACCTGATACTTTCACGGCTTAAAATTTTGCAGTTTTGAGCGGACATGTTCTGTAAAGTTATGTTTTTGATTGTCTTCAGCAAACAGTTGTTTGTCATTTGAATTTATTTTTAATGTTCGCTAATCGAATCGAAATTCTGAAATTTTCCGATCATTTTTCCTTAATTAACTCCTGCTTTTGGGCTATTTCAAGATAACGCTGTGTTGTGACAAAGCATTAAAAAAATAAGCAGATATATAAATCATTCTTGGCAGAATAATGCTGAATATCGACTACTTACATCCTCTTCCATATGGAAATTGGATATCAAACAATTCACGAATTTTCCAATGGAAATCTAAATCCATTCCATATGCAGAAATCCTTCCCAGCCATTTTCCACTGATCTCTTCACTGCGGCTAAAAAACTCCTTTAGATTTGTTATATTCTTTGAGATTAAGCAAATATGCAGCAATTCATCATTTATTTTCCAGCAGGAAAAGAGCCCCGGAGATTTTTGGTATGACAAATCGGGAAAACGCAAACGAATTCGATAAATTCCCAGAAGTTTAAACAGAACGACATTGTGACTGATTCAGTATTAACATTTTTCCAAATCATATTCATTTGAATCTCAAATGGCAAGTTTCCAGGCATTAAACTCAAAGAGCAATTGCGTATTATTTGGCTGGAATTAATGGCTAAAAGACGGAAGAGGAAAATCTTAAATTACAGAATTCCATTTAAAATGATCCGGTCGAAGACAATTTCTTTGGCAAATTGGTTTATTCGGAGTTCCTTCGTCTCATAAAGATGCTTTCAGCGTTCACCTGAAAACGGTTGGAGATACTACCAACCGAAACGTTGTCATCAGATAAAAACCTCTTCAACCTCACTTTATGGTAGATTAAGATGAGTAAGAACATTGTTTCTCAATCATATTTATTTGAATAGCAAATGGCAAATTTCCAGACGATAAACTGGAATTAAGGGCCAAAAGCTGGACAGACTTAAAGCTTTTGACTTAACTTGAGAAAAAATAGTCGGAGCGTTAGCACATACGTCTTAATTTGTAATCAGGAAACTTTGCCAGATGGGCCTTTCTCATTGTTCTGCTTCTCTTCTGTCACGCATTTCCAGCGAAATTAGCCAATTACTACCCAGGGCAAACAGGATGAAATTTTGGAGCTTCAGGCCTTACATTTTAGAGCAGAAGGTCTCTTTAATTGGCCATACTTTTGGTATATGACCAATCTTCGTTTCGATTTATTTCATGTTTTCAAGTCTCATTTCAAACAACATTCTGTAATTAATTAATTTTTCCCGAAGTGTAGCAAACTGGGAAATTTTGGTCTCATTTAATGTGACAACAGGTTTAATTAAAAATTGACCTAAAAAATAAAACTTTTCCTCCCTCAAAACTTCGATATTTTAAGCTGTGAAGGTGCCAAGTTGGAACGTAGCACGCCACGAGCCATCTTGCATCTCTCATAGACCCATGTGGGTGCAAGCGAAAGAACCGATGTAAGCTACGCTCTCAAATGGCAAAATCGGTATGATATGGCTGAGATTTTCGCCGCCATTCGAGGGTTTATCGAGTTTTCCTTAACACTGTTCATCACGACTCGAACAACAAATATTTCAAGATAATCGCGTCTATCTTGCTGCACATAAAAGCAATTATTATAAGCCGGAAACGCGATTATCGATTTCCAGTTTGAGTCGAATTTATGATCCTGTTTTGCTAGAATATGCGCCAGTTGCGTGACTAAAAATTCCTGAATGTTTGCTCTGGGACTTGACCACTCATGCATGATAGTTGAGCTGTTGGTTTCATTCTATGGGATTCAAGAAGGCGACTCAAATTTGCTTTTTTCTGCAAGTTCTTGCGGACTTAAAATTGCCGAGAAGGCTGGCTTCTCGTTGTAAACGGATGAAAAATGTTTGTTAACAATTTGATGGTTTTTCGGTGCTTCTGTAAAAGTTTTCAGCA